CTTCTCCCTCTCCCACTCCCCCTGCTTGTGTTCCCTCTCTCACTGTGTCTCTCTCTGTTAAATAAATAAAATCTTTAAAAAAAAAAAAAATATTCTTAGACTAAACATTTTCTCAAATGTGTATATATCTTCTGAAGTCCCATACGTTAAAAATTTTTGTATCATGACTTTGTTCTAAACTTGTGTTTACTGTCAAAAAGCAAATTAAGACGTTCTGTGTATAGCTTTGTCTTTATATAGTCAGTTACCAATGTCATTGGTATACAAGGCACTGAGCATGAAGATTTTTCTTTTTGATGGAAATAAACAAATCTGAATATGAAAAATGCCCATAATATTTTTTAAAATTTCTTACAACCTGCTGGTGATTATAACTGGACGTTTATTTTTTTCTTAACACATTTAATTCTTTAAGAAACTAAAAATTAGGGGCACCTGGGTGGCGCAGTTGGTTAAGCATCCAACTGTTGCTTTTGGCTGAGATCATGATCTCAGGGTAGTGAGACTGAGCCCTGCACTGGGCTCTGCACTCACTGTGGAATCTGCTTAAGACTCTAAGACTCTCTCTCTCCCTCCCTCTTCCTTTTCCCCCTCCCCATGCTTGCTCACTCACTTGCTCACTCTCTAAAATAAATAAATCTTTATTTATTTATTTTTTTAAAAGATTTTATTTATTTATTTGAGAGAGAGAGAGTGTGCAAGCAGGGGGAGTGGCAGGGAGAGGGAGAAGTAGACTCCTACTGAGCAAGGAGCCTGACGCGGGACTCGATTCCAGGACCCTGGGATCACGACCCAAGACGAAGGCAGATGCTCAACCGACTGAGCCATCCAGGCATCCCTAAAAAAATACTTAAAAAATAAACTAAAAATTTTATTCGGTTTCATTTTGATATTATCATAAGTATATAGGTTTGTTGTATGCAGACTCAATATACAGACTGAATGTGTTGTAGTCTTAATGCTGGGTGATTTCTCATATTATTACCCAGTTTACTCTGGTATGGCATGTCATGCTAGTTCTTAATGGCATAGCATGAGAAAATTGCATTCTAGTTATATTCATTATTTTTATTGTGTAAGAAAAAATAAAATCAGCCCCATCAGTTCAGTGCCCCTTCCCTTCTGAAACACTAGGATCTCATAGAGTACCATTTGCAAACAATCAATTTAGATAATCTTTTTTGTTTTTAAAGGTTCAACCACAGGTGTAAGTCATTCCTTGAGGCTCTTGTGCCCTGTGGCCACTGTCCGTATTTCCACATGCCAAGAAATAGGTTAGCATCCTTGCATAAGTGCAATTTAACACTTCAATAACTACCATTTTAGGTTGGAGCTTCATATTATAATGGTTTAATATTTTTTCTCCTCCAAGGGCTATTTTTCACATAAAGTAGAAACAACTTAAAGCTTCAACGTGGAGTTATGCATGAAAATGAGCATTGGTTGATCAAGGGTGTATTTGTGTCATTTCAGGACTTGGTGACATTCAAGGATGTGGCAATAGACTTTTCCCAGGAGGAATGGGAATGGCTGAACCCTGCTCAGAGGAATTTGTACAAGAATATGATGTTGGAGAACTATCAGAATCTGGTATCACTGGGTAAGAATATTTTCTCCTCTGCATAATTTAGAATTACATTAGTGACTCTTTACATTTTTATTTATTATTAAAACTTTTTAAAAAAGATTTTATTTATTTGAGAGAGAAAGAGTGATAGAGCACAAGTGGGGTGGAGGGGCAGAGGGAGAGGGAGAAGCAGACTCCCTGCTGAGCTGGGAGCCCGACTCAGGGGCTCGATCCCGGGACCTGGAGATCATGACCTGAGCCGAAGGCAGATGCCCCACCATCTGAGCCACCCAGGTGCCCCAAAAAGATGTGTTTCATGCATGAATGAACAATGCATGCACCATGCTTCTCTGAGAAGCCCCTTTTATCCTGCTTGTGGTTCACTGAGCTTCTTGAAACAAAATGTATGTCTTTCATCAAATTTGAATAATTTTTGGCTTTATTTCTTCAAATAATTTTTTCTGCTGTCTCTCTTGGTATTTCAATTACAAGTATATTAGAACCTTTGATATTATGCCCTAGGTAACTGAAGATCTGTTCATTATTTAAAATCTTTTTTCTTTGTATGTCAGATTAGATAATTTCTATTGGACTAACTTCAAATTTACTTACTCTTTTTGTGTTTTCTTCACTGTCTTGTTAAGCCAATGTAGTGAATTTTTTAAAAAGATTTATTGATTGGGGCGCCTGGGTGGCTCAGTCAGTTAAGCGGCTGCCTTCAGCTCAGGTCATGATCCCAGGGTCCTGGGATCAAGCCCCGCATCGAGCTCCATGCTCAGCAGGAAGCCTGCTTCTCCCTCTCCCACTCCCCCTACTTGTGTTCCCTCTCTCCTGTCTCTCTCTCTGTCAAATAAATGAATAAAATCTTAAAAAATAAAAAATAAAAAAATAAAAAGGGAGAGAGAATCTCAAGTAGACTCTGCACTGAGCACGGAGGCTGACGCAGGGCTTGATCCATGACACTGAGATAGGACCTGAGCCAAAACCAAGAGTTGGGTGCTTAACCTGATTGCACCACCGAGACACCCCAATGTAGTGAATTTTTAAATTTCAGATACTATATTTTTCAATTCTAAACTTTCCACTTGGTTCTTTTTTTATAATTTCTATTTCTCTGCTGAGAAATTCTAAGCATATTTTCCTTTACATTTTTGGGTATGGATATAACAGCAGTTGTTTTGTTTTGTTTTTACCGATTTTATTTATTTATTTGACAGAGAGAGACACAGCGAGAGAGGGAACACGAGCAGGGCGAGTGGGAGAGGGAGAAGCAGGCTTCC